GTTTGATCTTTTCTGGGACTCCTGTGTGGGTTCCTGTCTGAGGGGGCAGGTGGGCCTCTCATTATCTTGCTGAGTAGTAAATTTTAGAGTGTGTTTTTCTAGAGACAAATGGCCATTTGTGGACTGCACACCCTCGGTCATCAGCGGTCAGGCTCTGGGTGTCTAAGACGCCAGGGGTCCCTGCGGGTCAGACTCTGAACAGCCTGATTCTTAAAGGATTTTTGCTTTGACTTTGGGTCCTTTGTCGCCACAGGCAGGATCCCTGCCAGTGACCTCAGTCCATTCTAAGTCTGTGTCAACTGTCCTTGGGACTCAGCAGCCACTGGCGTGTTTAAAGAGGGAGAGGAAGCAGGCGGGCCCAGGGCGGCATATAAACATTCCAGCTCCTGAAGCAGTTGTTTCCCCAAAGGGGCAGTGTTTGGTCCCAGCTGCCTGCGATCCATCACCCTTCTTCAAACTTCTTCATTACTGCAGGGCTGCTGCCCATCCCCCCACCACTGAGGAGCTCACCAGAGCTGGCTCCTGCTGCTCAGCCTGGCCCAGCCTCCCAGTCTAAAAGGCTCTTGCCTGTCCTGTCACTCATGACTGCCTTTCCATGGGCCACATCTGGCTGCTGAGAGGACCCCAGGCTCTTCAAACCACCTCCCCAATACACAGCACATTCATGTAGAAATAATTGCCCACCTTGGGACCAGCTTCATCATTTTCCCCTGTACAGCTCCATGACCATTGACTATTAGCCGATGCCCATCACCCCTGATGCCCCAGGAAGTCGTCAGGAACCAAGGCACACCTAGACCCAGCGTCTACTGGAGTCTGAACACTCTGTATGTTAGTAGAGGGCCCAAAAATCTACAATTCAGCAAGGGCCTCACCTGCAGGCGACCTTGGGCACCTGTTGGGGAAGAGGCTGGTGAGGTTCCCACCCTCTAGAATCTCTACCCTCACAGTAGTGGACACAATGGGGATCACTGCACCTCTTCAGTGAATGGTTCTGATGAGCACAGGGCCTGGCTGTCTACAAATTTCCCCTTGGACTTCAGCAGAAATCTGCCGCATTTGCTTCAACACGACCCAACAGACCCCGTTGTCTGCCCCCTTCCCTCCTTCCCTCATTAGCTTAAGCACTTTACAAAACCGATTTACACACTGGTCACCCAGATCTTCCGGAGCCTCCCCAAACTCAGAAAGATCATATCCCACGATGAAGCTGAGAGAAACCACTGAAGTCCCATCCCGGTCCTGAGGTCCCTACTGAACTTTGTTGGTTTGTTTGCTTGCTTGCTTGAGACAGGGTCTCACTGCACAGCCCTGGCTGATCTGGAACTCTTTGTGTAGACCACGCTGGCCTTGAAGTCACAGATATCCTCTACCTCTGAGTGCTGAGATTAAAGGTGTGTACCACCCTTCCTGAGACTGCTGACCATGTCAGGGTCACTCAGGCCAGGAGGACTGGCCCAAGGCTGACTCAGTCTCCTAGGTTCTGCCCCCTCCAGGGACAGCCCTCAGTGTGGCTGGTGGCAGACACATGCCACACTGAACACTAACTATGGAGACCAAAGACAGGGAAAACCCTTCCTCACTGCGCTTACATCCAGTGACCTCTGTTAGAGTGCCAAGTTGCTGTCCTGTGATGACAGGGAGCAGAATCAAGAGGCCATGTGACCCCCAGGTATGAAACTGGAGAGGGAACAGACTGAAGGAACAGAGCTGGTCCTCAGTTCCCTCGCCCTATCCCATGGCCCAGCTCCATCACTTATAAGCATATGGCCCCTGTGCAGGGCCAGAGCCTGGCTGGGCTGATCCAAGGTAGACACCGAGCCAACTGTACACCTCACAGGCCCAGAGTCCTCATGGGCTGTCCATGCTCCTGAAAGCCCATGAGGAGGCGTGTGCTCCTCAGGTTCTGGAGGCAGAGGAATCTCACCCTGCCTCTGACAGCCTTGCTGTGGATGCTGAGGTTGCCCTTCAGGTCAGGCCTCCTACGGGGATGTTAGGGTGGTCCATGGAGGACCGAGGCTTGCCACAGAGGGTTGAGGCTCCCTGTAGGGGTTAGGGATTCCATGGAGATTTGGGGCTCCCTAGGGGAGCCGCACTGCTGAAGTCCAAGGCCCTGGTGGACCCTGAGGTTCTGGCCTTTGGCAGTCCACCTGCTCTGAGCACATGTTCCTTCCTAGAAGCAATGTCTGACCACCTACAGCTTGGTTCTTGCATTAATCCCCCATCTGAATTAACCTCTGCAGGTGTAGCCTACCTGAGCTGTCCATAGGCCAGGACCTGGCTGCTGAGGACATGGATATCTTAAAAGAAGGAGGGAGAAAGTAAAGTGTGGTATAGGCTCCAAGTTGAGCCGAGAGTTGCCCTCAGCTTGTGGGGGGCTGGTGCTTTTTTGTGCCACAGTCTTTGTGCCCTGGCTGTTTGGGGTGGGGCTGTCTGTGCCAGGCTACACAAGGCCACGAGGTTACCATGTGGCACCTCAGGACCAGACAAGACAGGCATGATCCAGAGCAGACTTGGACCCCTCCACAGACCCAAGAGTGGGTGCCTGTGGCCAGTTGGTGGAGAGGTTTCTGGGGCACAGTTTCTCCGTTTGCCAGGCTGGCTGGGACACTGCAGGCAGCCGATGGGCTTGAGAAGGCTCCAACTCCGGCTCCTCTCCGTGCCGTCACTCAGCGCTAACGAGCTCGCTTTCCAGGTACTTGCTATTCCCTGCACTGTCTACCCTCCTCCCAGCTCCCAGCTCTGAGTGCCCCACTATTTATAGCCGACTACTTGAGAGACACAGATTGCTATTCTAACACAGCCTTTAAGCTCCAGGAGAACATTGAAGAACAATTAGCTGACCAGTTTGCTAATGAACTTTTCTCTGGCGACTTAGCAGTTACTCCGTCTCCCTTTCCTGACGTGATGACTGTACTTTCCTGTTCCAAGAGGCCGCTCCAAAAATATAACCTCCTTTAAATAAACTGTGCGATTGCACTTCCCTCAGGGAAGGCACATTCCTCCTCCCCCTGATCTGCCTGTCACCCAGGAAAGCAAGGCCGCTTCTCCATCAGTCTTAGAAAGCAAGCTGGAACTTCTGGGGTGGCTTTGTGCCTGCTGATGTCACACTCACCTTCTGATGTCCTCTCAAGGCCCAAGGCTGCTCTACGCTGCCTGAGCAGAGAGAGAAAAGGAGGGAACAGAAACCCTGAGTAGGGGTGCTTGCTCGTGGGGGCTCTGTGCCAGGGAGCTTCTGTTCACATTTGATTCGCAAATCCTCAAATGACCCACAGAGAAGACAAGACTGTGCAGGAAAACTGAGGCTCAGCTCTGAGCTCCATACACTGCCATCTGAAGGTGTCCTGCAGACCAAAACCTCAGAAACCCTGTATTGAAAAACAAACAGAGAGAGACAGAGACAGAGACAGAGAGAGATTCTGCCTCAACAGATAAGTAAAGAATGAGGGCTGGGGAGATGGCTCAGGGGTTAAGAGCTCTGACTCTTCTTCCAGAGGACCTGAGTTCAATTCCCAGCACCCACATGGCAGTTCACACCTGTCTGTAACTCCAGTTTCAGGGGACCCTGACATGTATGGCAAAAACACAAATGCACATAAAAATAAAATAAAATATATTTGCCGGGTGGTGGTGGTGGCGGTGGTGGTGGTGGCGGTGGTGGTGGCGGCGGCGGCGGCAGCGGCGCATGCCTTTAATCCCAGCACTTAGGAGGCAGAGGCAGGCGGATCTCTGTGAGTTCGAGGCCAGCCTGGGCTACAGAGTGAGATCCAGGAAAGGCGCAAAGCTACACAGAGAAACCCTGTCTCAAAAAAACAAACAACAAAAAAAAGGATTCCATTTTGGGTTGGGGATTTAGCTCAGTGGTAGAGCGCTTGCCTAGCAAGTGAAAGGGCCTGGGTTCGGTCCTTAGCTCCAACAATAACAACAACAAAAAAGAATGATTAAGGAAGATACCAGATGTCGCCTCTGGCCTCCACACATAAGCACATGTTTCCACACACATGTGAATATACATGCCCCATACCTGAGAAAAGATGTGTTTATGATACCCCTGCAGGAAGCAGGGTCCTGGGGCACCAATAGTTAAAGAAAAAAATAGTTCCACTGAAATGACCTCTCTGACCTTTGGCAGAATTACCTAACTCCACCTGCCCTCAGCATGCACCCTACCACAGGGGATGGCATCTCCTGGAGGCAGGAGCATTGTCTTTCAGAGTCCCCTCCCTACCCCATACTCCTGCCTGTCACAGGCTTCCAGCCACATAAAAACAAGCGAAGGCCGGCTAGATGGCTCAGTTCATGAAGGTGCTTGCCACACAAGCTGACAACCTATGTTTGATGTTCAGAACCCATGGCAAAAGAGAAGTGACTTCTGAAGTCATCATCTGACCTCTACATGTGCACCTTAGATAACAGATAAAATTAAGACACACAGAGACATGGGCAAGTTGGTGGTTCCTAAAGAAGCCAGCAGTCCATTCCTGCACAGACCCAGGACAATGGACATTGAGTGCTCAGCAATAGCCTCTTCATGCATGCCCGTCCATTCCCATCCATAGCAGCATTACTCAGAACAGCAAAGGTGAATGGAAGACAATTCATGGTACCGTAGTGGGCTACTGAACTATAGTTATTACTATCTCTTAACGTAGTCTTAAGATTACTTTCTGAGATAGTATAACTATAGTTCAGAAGCCCACTACAGTTAAAAAAAAATACTTGAAGTGCTAAAACTATCTTGGGCAGACTGGTCTCTGGTCACTTAGAACAGCCATAAATTCCTAAGGTAAACTGGTCACACGGACCTGCTATAAATTCCTTAACAATGTGACCCTGACCTACAGGTTAACTGCCTGACTACTTAACTGCTGTCTCTCCACTTCTGTAAATAATGCTTGCTTGCTGCAGATATCCAGAGCTGCCTTTCTGTATACATGACAGTTGCCATTTATCTTAGTTAGGGTTTCTGTTGCTATGAAGAGACACCATGACCACAGCAACTCTTTTAAAGGAAAATATTTAATTGAGGTGGCTTGCTTACAGTTTCAGAGGTTTAGTCCATTATCATCATGGTGGGACATGGCAGCATGCAGGCAGACAAGGTGCTGGCTACATCTTGATCAAAAGGCACAGGAAGCAGACTGACTCACTGGGCGTGGCTTAAGCATATATGAGACCTCAAAGCCAGCCTCCACAGTGACCACACCTACTCCAGCAAGGCCACACCTCCTAATAGTGCCACTCCCTTTGGGGACCATTTTCTTTCAAACCACCACATCATTATTGCCTTTAAAAACTTAAACAAATGGGGGGTTGAGGCTGCTTCCTGCTCTTCTGACTGGGACAGCCCCTTCAGCGGTGAACAAGGACTCCATATGACTTAGTTAGGCATCTCAGGAGTTTCTCTCTTCAGGTACCCCATAACTGTAGATTCACCCTGGAGAACATTATACAACCCTTAAAAAGGAATGGGGTTTGACACATGTCAACCTAGGTGAACCTTGAAGACCTTGTGTTCAACTAAACAAGTCGGACAAAGGCCACCCATGAGATTCCAGTTCTATGACAAGTCCTGAAGAGAAGGATCCACAGACATGGAAAGCAAGTCTGTGGTTTTGGGGAGGGGGGTGTGAGGAGAGGGGGCATGAGCAGCCACTGCCGATGGGTGTGGTTTTCTTTGGTGAGAATGTCATGGTTATGTGATGCTGTCAACGTGCTAAATGCTAACTGCACTGAAGCATCACCTGACTGTCCACGGGCTCAGATGAGAGCAAGTCCTTAGCATTCCTCCAAGCAGCCTCCGGCTACTGCCTCGCCTGCGGCAGCTGCATCATGATGCATGTAATTAACTCCTACTTCTGCCTCTGCCTTGGGAGCTCCTCCATTGTCCTTGTCACTGGCCTGTCACAGCCGTCCTGCAGGGCAGCTACCACAGGTGAACTGGGCATATGTGTGTCACCACAACAAAACTGTTTAAACATAGTAAGTGGGCGCTGTTGTTCTTGGGCCACGCCTTCCCAGTGAGAAATCACCCTACACACTTAGAGATTAAGAGAGGAAAAGGCTCTTTTACAAAATAGCGCATGTCTGACTCTGGCTAACACCCAAAGAGAAGGTGGCCTCAAAAAAGGTTTTATCTACACCTGAGGTTCCGGCAGTCCACATACACAGTCATCTTTAAGGCCACGACCCCAGGTTACACGTTGAACAATTTAAACAGGGACAGGAGATTGCAAGTCTGGCCACGCAGGCGGACGGGAGATTGGCACGGCAAAGGTGTTGTCAGAATCTGTTAAGTACACCAGTGCTGTTCTTTTTCAACAGTTTCTACCCCACTTCATTTTGCCCACCGGGCAGGATGATGCTTTTCCTGAGAGGACACAGGGGACTTCAGGACAGACCAGGGCTTACAGATGGCTGTGACCCTGCCCTGCCCCCTGGTGTTGCTCATTAGAGGCATGTTCTCTGATACGAGGATGGCCCGGCTGGCTGGCTGTAAGTCAGGGATGTCTCCTTTCATTATGGGAATGGGGCTTCACTGCAGGTCAATCTTGATGAATAAACACCAGCAGAAACTTTCTCAGCAACCCTGAACCTCAGTTATGGTTCAGAATTTTCTTTCTTGGGGTTTCTAGCCAACCTGGTTAGCTCACTGCCTTCTAGTCATCTTGGAGGCCATTCTCCTTTAGCTAAATTCTGCTTGTGTAACTTAGTATCTCCCGAGTAAGTTCATTGGTGAATTATTTTTCTTCCTTCTCCCCCCCCCTTTTCTTTTTTGGTTTTTCAAGATAGGGTGTAACCCTGGCTATCCTGGAACCCAATCTGTAGACCAGGCTGGGCTGGCCTGGAACTCCCAGAGACCCACCTGCCTCTGCCTCCTGAGTGCTGGGATTAAAGGTGTGTGCTATCATTGCCCAGTGCCATTAGTAAATTTTTTTTAAAAAAATATTTATTTATTATGTGTACAGTGTTCTGTCTGCATATATGTCTGCAGGCCAGAAGAGGGCACCAGACCTCATTATAGATGGTTGTGAACCACCATCATGTGGTTGCTGGGAATTGAACTTAGGACCTCTGGAAGAACAGTCAGTGTTCTTAACCACTGAGCCATCTCTCCAGCCCCCATCCATTAGTAAATTCTTTATGGCATCAGTTTTACTATAAGTTTCTCCTTCATCGATATCACTTGAACGCTGCCTGCTCCCCAGAGGCTGGCCCCCAGCTTGAAAAGCGGTGGAGCCTTTTAGAGGTGGAGCCTGGGGGGAAATCCTCAGGTCACAGGAGGGGCGGCCCTGAAGGGGACTGTGGGGCCTCAGCAATGTCTTTCTCTAGGCTTATTTGTTTTTACATTTTACATTACCTCAGCTCCGCTCTGTCACATGCTCCCGTCATCATCAGACTCATCGGGGACCACAGAATAATGGAGCTGACTGACTGCAGCTCCATCCGCCCAGCCTGGTCTACAGATTGGGTTCCAGGACTGACAGACTGCAGTTCTCAAAACTGTGAGCCAAAAAAACAAAAAAAAACAAAAAACAAAAAACAAAACAAAACAAAAACAAAGAGTGTGGAATCAGTGGGGGATAACCCTCCCCCCATACATACATGCATCCACACAAGCCACATCTAGGCTTTGTGGGGGTGTCCAGACCTGGTTTCATGTGCCTGAAGTGGCCTGGATGCTGCATAGGGCCTATGTCTGTCCCGCTGTGTGTTCTGAACCTGCTGTCTGCCCACAAGGTGCTCTTCACCAGCCGAATCAGCAGCGCCCCCTTCTGGGCTCAGGTGGACTTTCCCCACAGTGGCTGTCATCAGACCATTGCTTCCACTTGGTTTCCAAGCACCAGATGCCTGCTGGAGGTTGAGCTGCAATTGTTTGCAGTGATGTAGAGACACCCATGGGTAAGAAGAGGAAGGACCAAGTCCCTGACTCTCTCCCTTTCCTCCCTGTCCTTTGCTGTGAGCAAAACCTAGGAAGCCGGGGGGGTGGGGGAGAGGTGGGGGTGGGGGGGGGTGGGGGGGTGGGGGGGGGGTAGGCTGTGAAGACCGCATTTTTTTTTTCTAGCTTCAGCAGTTGATGCTGGCCTGGAGAGACAGCTCAGCCAGCACTGGACTTTCTAGAGAGAGTGACCAACCAGCCCTAGAGCCCATCTTTCACTCATACCCAGGTGTCTAGGCCCTCACCTAACCACTGTTTCTAAGCAATATTTACCTTTCTCTCATTGCCTCAAGCAGGTACCAGACACCTGGGGACAATGCCCATGCTCCAAGCCTGATGGAGCATCCCACACCAGCCCATCCTCAGCTACCTGCCCTGCCTCACCTGTTCAACCCAAAGAAACCACACAAGAGCCTCCTCTTAGCTAGGTTTCTATTGTTGTGATAATACGTTGGCCAAAGCAGCCTGAAGAGGAAAAGGGTTTTTTGGCTTACTTATCCCAGGGCATAGTCCACTGAAGGGAGCCAAGGCAGGAACTGAAGCAGAGGCTGTGGAGAAATACTGCTTGCTGGCTTGCTCCTTGTGGCTCACTCAGTCTTCTTTCTTTCTTTTTTCTTTTTCTTTCTTTCTTTCTTTTTTTTTTTTTCAAGACAGGGTTTCTCTGTGTAGTTTTGGTGCCTGTCCTGGATCTCACTCTGTAGACCAGGCTGGCCTTGAACTCACAGAGATCCACCTGGCTCTGCCTCCTGAGTGCTGGGATTAAAGGTGTGCACCACCACTGCCCAGCTCAGCCTTCTTTCTTATACCATCTAGGACCACCTGCCCAGGGGTGGCAGCACACACAGTAATCTGTGCCCTCCCACATCTGTCATTAACCAAGAAAGCGTCCCACAGACTTGCCCGTGGGCCAGTCTTATGGAGGCATTTTCTCAATTAAGAGTTCCTCTTCCCAGATACATGTAGATGTGTCAAGTTGACAAAAACCAACCAGTCCAGTCCCCACCACCTCCCCTTGTTCCTTCTACCTCCTGGTCATCACAGGCTTCCCCATGTAGCTTTCCTGTATGGCTTTGCATGCTGTGGGTCCCCTCTCAAGATCTGGGGACAGCCATGTTACAAGGGACAGCTGTCTTCTTGCCTGCTGCTCTGACTTAGTGAAAAAGAAAACCCCCCATTAAGACAGGCGCGGGGAGAAGATGGTTTACTGGGTAGTAACACCCACCACACAAAGCCGGCCCACCTGAGACCTATTCCCAGACCCACAGAGGGAGGGCAATCAACTCTGGAGAATTATCCTGACTCCCCACAAGGGTGCCGTGGCATGCACATAGCACACACACACTAATAATAATTTTTAAAAAAGTTTAAATGACCCTTCGCTGGTGTGCACACAGCTGAGTGACTTGGTGAGCATGAGTGCCCACTCAGGAGACAGTGTGAACTTCTTAGCACTGATTCCCAGTGACTGCACAAGTAACAGGCAGGCTGTAGAGGGGTATGAAGCAAAAGAGGATGGAGGCCATGGCTGCTGTGATGTTGCCCATGGGGATGGGGGAAGGAAGGGGAGGCAGGATTTGGTAGTTAAGGAGGATTCCCGTTTGCCTTGCTCCAGTCCTGGGACCCTGCCTGCACCCCAGCTCTGGGATATGCTTCTTGAAGGGTGCACCCTGAGGGAACAGGCACCATACAGAAGGAAGCCAGAGGCCAGTTGGTTTTTTGAGACAAAATTTCTCTGTGTAGCCCTGGCTGTCCTGGAACTCACAGAGATCCAACTGCCTCTGTCTCCTGAGTGATGGGATTAAAGGTGTGCGCCACCACACCCAGCCCAAGAATAGCTGTTCCAACTTCCTAGAGTAAAGCAAGCAGCCCATCCACCTCCCTCTCCTGTATCTGTTTGGCTTTCTTTTTTTTTTAATCTATTTTTTTAAAGAATTTTATTTATTTATTATTTATTATTTATTTATTATGTATACAGTATTCTGCCTGCATGTATGCCTGCAGGCCAGAAGAGGGCACCAGATCTCATTATAGATGGTTGTGAGCCACCATGTGGTTGCTGGGAATTGAACTCAGGACCTCTGGAAGAGCAGCCAGTGCTCTTAACCTCTGAGCCATCTCTCCAGCCCCTGCTTGGCTTTCTGAACACACCTCCAGACACCGAAAAGGCATCAACAGAATGGAAACTGAAGATGTAGGAAGTGGTGAACAGACAGGTCCATGGGCAGGCTGGGAAAATGATGTGTGTGGTGCTGCCGCTCTGGGTGGGCACAGGCTGGGAAAATGATGTGTGTGGCGCTGCTGCTCTGGGTGGGCACTGTGTCTCCACTTGGATCAGGGGGCTGACCTGTTACAGGGGAAACCTGGGCTTCCTGCCTTGACTGCACCTGGTAGAGCCCCAGAAGCACTTCTCCAACCCAGTGGGCTCCCAGAGGCTGTGGGCATCACTATGACGGGGCAGGGCTATGGGGTATGACCTTCTGTCACACACCCCTTGCTGGGATCTGGGCTACAGGAACCAATCAGAGTGGTCTCTGCTTTAGTGCAGGTGCCCGGCTGGAAATTGCCTTTCCTGTTTAAGCCAGTAGAAGCTCAGTCCTTGAAGCTGAGTCACACCACCCCTATTTTGTACTCAGGTACCCCTTTAATTTCTATCAAGCCAGACCTTGGTAAAATAGTGACTGAAAACACTCGTCCAGGGAGCCCGTAGTTAGGAGCAGAGGGGGTTGGGAGGCTAACAGCAGGAACGCAGGTAACAGGGGCAGCACCTCAGCTGTTGAGAGGCACTGGGAGGAAAGTTCCTCCCTGCCAGCCCGGAACCTGTTTCCTTGGAAACCACAGCCTGCATTCAAGAAACTGGAGATGCTGGAAGCTGCCTCCAGAGCATGAGCCAGAACTCGGGCCGCCCCTAGAGGCAGACGCTGGAACTCCACCTGGAAGGTTGGGGGTGGGGGCCGACACAAGAGGAGACCCAGAACCCACCGGCTTCCCCTCTATCCTGTCCCTCCCCCAGGGTCAAGGCTCCCTGCCAACAAGGGGCTCAACCGTGATTTCAGCTTTGAGAGGACTGTCACTAAGGGTGAGATGACACCATGTGGAGATGCCACAAAGGGGTGTCGCCTTTAGGAGAACTTTATAACTCTGGAAGGAAGCTTGTTTTGAATGCAAGATGGTGATAATCACTTGCCCTCTTTAGTTATAGATGAATAGACGGACTGGAAAGTAGACAGAGGGATAAGAACATGGGGATAGAGGAAGGGTGGGAGAGCAGATGGGTGGGTGGGGGTGATAGGAGATACACACGGGATGTTAGGGAAGGTAGGGAGGCAGATGGATGGCTACAAAGACGCATGAGTGATTGACAGATGGGTGGAGATGTCAGAGTCGTGCAAGTTCATGGGCACAGGCTGCAGAGCTGTCTCTAGGGTGACCTTCCTGGGGCAGTCAAGACAAGTGTGCTGGCCTCCAACTTATGATCCTCTGGTCTCTGCCTCTTCAGCATATCCTACTGGATGAAGCCTATAGTTGAGAGGCTTTCAACTTTTAAAGAGACATTGGAGTTTGACAGTCTTTGGATTTTCTTTTTTTCTCCCCAAGACAGTGTTTCTCTGTGCCAACAGTCCTGGCTATCCTAGAACTCACTTAATAGCCCAGGCTGGCCTTGAACACACTGAGCTCCACCTGCCTCTGCCTCTCAAGTGCTGGGATTAAAGGCGTGTGCCACCACCACCCAGCAGGTAGGCTCTTAATAAAGCAGGTAGTCCTCCGTGCGTGCGTGTGTGGTGGGTAGTTCCCAGAACAGCCTTCAGGTCCAGTCCAAGCCATAACACCTGCTTCTCCCTGGGCTTGGATTCTTCACACATCATCCTTACTACCACACGAGAAATATTACAAATTAAACACTCCCCACCCCTTCATTCAGCTCATCCTCTGTACCAACTACAGGCTCCCACCTGGGTTCTCAAACACCTACAGATGTAAACTATGGGATATCAAAGAACTTGGGCTGCACTGAACTTGCACACGCCTTTCCTCCGTGTCCTTACTTCATCAACACAGTACGGCAGTCTTTGTGTAGAATTTTGCCTTGTACCAGGTGTGAACACAACAGTACATAGGAAGGTGTGCACAGGTTCTGTGTGGACAGCTTTTGAAGAGGGACTTTAGTGTTTGTGGGGTCCTGGAACACACCCCATCAGTATCAAGGAACCCCCTCTCCTGTGTGTTCATGTGTTTTCTGGCTGAGGTCACCCACAGAGAGGTTGAACCAAATCTACTGGTACATCACCTCCTGAGATCAAGTGGCCTGGCCAGAAAGGGCAAGGTAGAACAGGTGAGCCTCCACATGAGCTGACACCCCCAGCAGGGGACGGCAGGGTCCCCACACTGTGAAGAGGGTCACCCAGTCCACTCCCACATCCTGGCCAAGTCATGGACTGACAGGTGAGGTGACAGCCTTCCTTGACGCGGCACCTGTATGCAGGGTCACACAGGGCACAGGGCTGTCATCCCTAGGGACAAGCTGCTACAGGAAAGCCTGGTGGTCTTCAAACAACTGCCCAGGCAACTCCACTCCTGGGTGTCTCCCCCAGAGCAGTGAAGACATGTGCACAATGGACTGTGCACATCTGAGCAGCCCGTCTCCCAGTGCAGACCCCAAGTGTCCACAGGCGAAACACTCTACACGGGGTTACCTACCTCAGGAAGCTCCAGCACATGCTACAGGCACGAGCCCCGAGAAAGGCCGAGTGAAATATGCCAGATGCAAAGCCATGTACTGCACAATCCAAGCAGACATGTGCAGAGCAGGGGAGCCGGCAGCCATGACAGACCAGGGGCCGCCATGTGCAGACAGGGGAGCCGGCAGCCATGACATGGACCAGGGGCTGCCATGTGCAGACAGGGGAGCTGGCAGCCCCAACAGACCAGAGGCTGCCAGCACAGGGAGGGCTGCTAGCCAAAGCACACCAGGCATAACTGATGTGTTAACTGGTAGCAGTCGCCCGTTCTGAGAATATCCTAGTAACTCATGAAGGAGAGAGTGGGTGATGGTGTGGACTATGCTTTCAAAGCCGTTCACACGGGGAATTAAAGATGACCACTTTCACAGATACTGGCTTATCTCCATCAAGAAGGAGCCACAGTCACCAGCAGGGGACTCGGTGACTCATGTCTGGAGTCAGGCAGTTACAAGAGAGGGAAGCTGCAGACACAGTGCTTCGTTGGTGATGCTGGCTGCAGGCCTTCCCCAGGACCCAGGCCTTCACCCAGGGCCTCACTCAACAGCAGGGACTCTACCACTGAGCACTGACCCTAGCACCAAAGGAACCACACTTCCAGGGTGTCACCATACCCAGTGGATGCCCTAAGCATGGCAGCTCCTCCCTTAGAATGGTGGGCCTCACTGCTCAATGCTAAGTCCACTGCACCTGGACCATGATTAAGTCACCACAACCTCTAGGAGCAGATGGCTTTGGCACTGTCCTTCCTCCCATGGCCCCTCACCTGGACGCCTGTAACCCTGGCTGCCCCAGTGGTGATTCCTAGGGAGGGACAAGCCCATAGCAGCAGGCCTGAGTCTCCTTTACTGAGGGATGAGAGTCCAGTCGGGTCGTGCCCAGGCCCCCTGCTGGGTCTCAATACATGCTGTGGCCAGGACACACTACCGTGTCCCAGAGAGAGGTGACGGCAGCAGCCAGGCCTCCGTGCCATGGCCCTGTCACCTCAGTCACAGGAACCTCCCAAAAACCCTCAACAGTGCAAGTTCATGAGGTGGGAGTGCAGAGCCCCACCCACAGCCATCGGAAAGGCTCTTCTGCGAAGGTTCGCTCGTAAACACCAAGTAGATAAAAATACACACATGGCCCCGGAAGGGGCACTGACCACTCCTACACAGATGTCCATACAAAGGGCAGAAGCAGCCCGCGTGCCGTGAGGACCTGTAGTTTATTTGTGGGCAGCCCAGGGAAGAGGTGACAGTACCCACACAGGCGGAGTTATCTGGTTTCATTTTTCTTATTTTGGGGGAAGGAGAACTCTGGGCCCAGGCTGGACTGAAACTCTAGATCCTCTGGCCTCTGCACAGGGTCCAGGTGAAATTTTGAGTCTTCGGAGTAAGTTTCTGGTACGCAGGCAGTGGCTCTGAAGGCCGGCACTGGACAAAGGGCCTCCCTCTTCATCCTGCTCCTGTCCCTGCCCTAGGGGATGCTCAGAGCCTGGCATTCAGAGGCTCCAGGAGCATGCCTGGGTATCCTGCCCAATAACCAGGTGCCACCAAGGATGGCCGGCTTGGGCCGTGTACCTCACTTCTCACTCTGCAATGGCCGCTTCCTTTTCCTCGCTGGTTGCTGGACACCAGCCCCCTTTGCTCTAGCACCAGGCCTCCTCCTCTTCCCAGGAGGCCCTCTTTGGCCAGCCTTCTCATCCCTCCTGCTCCTCTTCCTCTTTATCCCTGGGCTCGGGCCTGTACTTGAGGCTTCTGTCTCGCTTTCCCCTGTGGATACAGTAAGACTTGTGAACAAGCTGATGGAACAATACCGTGGGTGTCATTCACCTGACTCTTTTTTTTTTTCTTTCCCAGAGCTAAGGACCGAACCCAGGGCCTTGTGCTTGCTAGGCAAGCGTACTACCACTGAGCTAAATCCCCAACCCCTCACCTGACTCTTTAACCGAAATGCCAGCACCAGGGAGCACCAGCCATGGCTGCTGACCAGGGAGCACCCATGTTGTATGGACAGTGAGCTTCATCCTGGGTGTCAGGATACTAGAGAAGCTGGGCTCAGGAATTGATCCCTTGAAAGACTAGTCAGAGGACAGGATGAAGGGTCAAGACGTGGAGCAGGGTGTGAGGAGGGCATAGGAAGAGAGGTAAAGATGGCTCGGTGCCCCAAGGCCAGAAAACACAACTCAATCCACTGTGTCAGAGCTGAAGGATAGTATCTGGCTTGAGTATGGAGTCAGGCCAAGGGCAGGCTGACGGGAAGACACTGCCCAGCTAGGAACAATGTGGATGGGCCTCAATGTGGAGATAGCTGGGTGGGAGACAGGGTGAATCCAGTGACTCTTCACAGGACAGCTCCTAGGTTAGCACATGAAAAGACTGTCTGCTCCAGACAGGGCCACCAACAATGTACAGCAGGCCCTGGGCAGTCTTTAGCAAGTGTGCTAAAAGCTAGCGCGCGCGCGCGCACACGCACACACACACACACACACACACACACCGGGAAGGGAAGAGGACCCGACACCAACAGTGACATGAGTGGCCGAGGTTCAGGATCACTGAAGGATACAGAAGGACACATGAGGCTGCAAGGTCAGAGAGGTAGGCTAGCCAGAGCACAGGCACCGAAGTCTGGGGCAGTCCCCACAGCCTGCAGGGCATCTGTGCGTGAAGAGAAGCCTTAAGCAAAGGCAGGACCACGAGCAGGGGAGACAAGGGCTGAGGCGGTCCACATGTTCATCTCCACCCAGCGGCCTACCTGTCTTACTCTGTGGCTGCAGTGTGGGCAAACGCTTCTTTTTCTTCTTCTTCTTCCGCTCCCGCCTCCCTTCCAGCAGCTTCTTGTAGGCCTTTTCAGGGACCTCATCATCAGGGAAAGTGCCTGAGAACCAGGGTGACAGTCAGGGTGCTGAGGGCATGTATCACCTCCACTCTGCAAGGCGCACTCTCATCCCAATGACCAAGCTGCTGAGATCCACATCACAGGTCCACACAGACCCAGCTCAGGACCAGGAAAATCCAGAAAGGCAATTTGTGGCCCCAAGTTTGTGGCACAGTGCCAAGGTCTATTCCTCAAACAGGCTTATGCTGTGTAGTGGTGACTGATGTCCTGTACTGCAGGGGGTTCCTGGGCACTGGTAAAAACCCATCACACACAATACACACTCTCTCCAGTGTGAACTTCATCTACAAACACTGGACACGAGTTCAAGGCCTGCATGAAGCATCAAGGTACGTTCTGGTGAATGAAGAGAGGCTGGCTCCACAAGCAAGGCACAGCAGGACAGTTAAAGGCTCAAGGCCTCCAGGGGCGAGGCATGCAATGAAGCCTGAGTACCACACGGCAAGTACGAGAACGACCAAGTGCTATGGAGTCTTCGAGCCTACCCCTTCTCCCACCAAGACACAGACTTCTCATGCCTAAGGGATCACTTGGAACCACTCCATCCCACAGGCACTGGCACTTCTTAAATCATGTGTGTGCGTGTGCCTGTGGGGGGGACCACCTCAGTGCCCACCAGATCCTCACCTCCAGCCAGGTCCCGCAACCTGAAAGAGAAGACAGAAAATGTCACCACTCAGCAGTGGCTCTGCCAGACATCAGTCCTCATGGGGGAGCCTCTCGGTGAGACACGGACTTCCCACCTGGCTCAGGCCACTTCACAGGACAACACACAGCAAAGGCAGTGGGGTGGGGCTGTGAAGGACAGCAGCAGAGGTGAGGCAGGCCTCCTGACTCACTTTTGGATCACTTTGTAGAGGCGCTTCCTGTTCTGAGAAGGGGTGCTCTGTCTACTGGCAAGCTTGAAGAGTCTGTTAGCAACTGCCTCGTAGTCAAACTGTTTCAAAAAGATGCAAGAAATACAAGGTCAGTCAGTGTCCATGTACCTGAACACACAACCCCACCTACCTCCCTGGGCTGAGGAGACATTCTCTGCTCAGCCACAGGAACCAACCCACTCAGCTCTCTTCCAGCAAGGCCTGCAGACAGACTACACCACCCCTGCTCCAGGGCTGCACTGTCCAAAGGCAGCATCCGATTGCAGAAGGCAGCCTGCTCTCCAACTTTCTTTCTTTCTTTCTTTCTTTTTTTTTTGAGACAGGGTCTTACTATGTGACTGGCCTAGAGCCACCTCTGGAGTGCAGGGACTAAAGTCCTCTAAATTCCCTACTAGCCAAAGCACACAGGTAGGAAGTTAACAAGTGAAAATTGTCCGATGGTGGCACACGCCTTTAATCCCAGCACTTGGGAGGCAGAGCCAGGTGGATCTCTGTGAGTTTGAGGCCAGCCTGGGCTACCAAGTGAGTTCCAGGAAAGGCGCAAAGCTACACAGAGAAACCCTGTCTCGAAAAAAACAAAAAAAAAACAAAAAAAAAACAAAAAAAAAAAAAAAGAAAAGAAAAGAAAATTGTCCGATACATTTTATTTAACCCAGAATACTCCAAACTTACTCATGTGACGGGCTGTCAGTATTAAAGCCTACTGACATCTGTCTGACCTTTCCAATCCACCTGACCCCATTTCTCAGCTGACTCAGAACTATGACCCAATTGCGGATCACTATGGCTGTGCCACCCTGTTCAAGGCCAACACTCCAATGATAGGGTCAGACCTGGGGGTGCAGCCCACCTATTCAAAGCAAAAGGAATGCCATGGGGTACAGCAGGGCTGGCTTAGCCCTTGCATCAACCTCTCAGCACCCACCAAGAGCTGCCCAGTTGCCCATCACCCACCCTCCCCCAAAGCCAGCCTCCATGAAGGCTATCTGTACAACCCTGTTACCGTCCTCACTACCAGCAGTGAGGCCAGAGGGTAAAGGCCAACCTTGTAGCCCAGACATGGATGCCTACCTGGAGGACAGGGCCAGCGTTTTCCTCGTCATCCCACACCTGCTCCTTGTCTGCCTCAGGGTCAGCCCTGTGTCTGGAGCCTAAAAGCAAAATGGAGCCTAACTCAAGGTACCGTGCCTGGTGTAGGGGTACCCCAATACCGACACCCAAGGAACCGAGGACCCTCTTGGTTATGTCCCGGCACAGGCTGGAAAGGGCACAAGCAGCTGGTCTCCAGGGGAATGCAGAGATGAAAAAAGGCATCCCAGGAGAGGGGCGCATGCTCAGTAGGCACCTTGGGCAGCAAAGGCAGCTTCAGGTGTCCTAGCAGTAAGGTAGGCCAGGGACACTGGAGCCTGCTTAGCTCAGCTCAGGACACTGAGCTGGGCTGTGTGCTAAGAACTCTGAGAGCACTGCCTTTGGTAGGAACAAAGTTGAAACAGGGCCTTGTCATGTAGCTCTAGCTGGCCTGGTATTTCCAAAGCCCAGGCTGGCCTTGAACTTGGGCAACCCTCCTGCCTCAGCCTCCCAAGTGCTGAGATCATAGGCATGTGCTCCCACAGCACACTCAGCATCGCCTTTGGGTGAAGGACTTCTGGACAGTGGTCCTGTGGGACACTCTGGTACGAAGGACAGCAGCTGCAGGATGGCTTGCTATATACAGAGTGGCTGCTGACCTCAAGTAGGCACCACTGGGACTTGCCAGGAAACTGAGGACGACTGGGAAGACACACACAGGATGGCCAGGCAGTGTGTCTGCTGACCCACAAGAAAGGGGCTGCCAGCGCTGACACGAGAGCTGAAAGAGGACACCCTTCCCTGAGGGTCCATGACCACAGCCTCAAGACCAAGAAAGCCTGGTGCAGACCCACAGCCCTTCAGGGGCCACTTATAAGAGAATGTGCGGTGCAGTCCTCTGTTCCTTGCTGCTATGTGGTCAGACCCAGATTGACTGGAGGGCAGGGCAGAGAAAAGGACCACAGAGGGGCAGAGACAAGGCAACCAATGGAGGCAGAGAATCCCAGGGGGAAGAGCAGGATGAAGGCTTGGGCATGACTCAAGGTCAGAACAGTTGCCTGGTGCAGACAGCCCCAAGTTCCATCCTAACACCACTAAGAACAGGAACAAAACCAGGGCAGACGCTGCCTCGTGAACAGGGAGGTCAGGGTGCCACCCAGGACCCGGGGAGCATTATAGCCTTAGACAGGAGCCCTTCAGGAACTGAGCTGGTAGCTGGATGTCACGTGCAAAGGCAGATTTAAAAGAGTAAATACGTATTTTATGCCACGCTACAAGGGACTCTGGAGAGGACAGCCAGGAGACACAACAATCCAGCAAGAGCCCTGGGCTCGGCCTGGGACAGGCCTGGACTTCTCACCTGCAGGCAGCCTCTTGGGTGGTGTGCCTTGCAGATCCTGCTCACCGTCTGAGGACTCCTCATCACCCTCTGACGCTTCACCCTCCCCACTCTGTGTGTCCAGTTCATTCATTAGGTCTTCAATGGCCAAGGGAGCCTGTTCCACAATCGTCTCAAAGATGCTCCGAGTGATCTTATTTAAAACTAGGGAGCTGAGGGGGAAGCAGAGGCCAGAGAGGCCATTGGGCTGGGCTCTCAGACACCATGCCAACCCTCACAGCATGGAGGGCCAAAGGCCACTGTTGCCTGAGACGGCACGCGTGACAAAGGTCAGACCCGGGGCCGCCCACCACTTACTCCTTAGTGTGGGCTGCTATCTGGCAGAAAGGATCGATGAACTGCAGATTCTGGTCTGCGGTGAGCTGTGGGGAAACCCAGGGATGGGAGGTGTGTCCCGTGCTGGGCACATGCACCACACCCCACAGACCCCGCCTGAGCCCACCTTACCTCTGCAGCGCCCACTTTGGTCAGCTCCTCCAGGAAGATCTCCAGGAAGTGGCTCTTCACCCCGTTGGGGGCCTGGCTGTCGGGGTTCAGTACCTCGGTGGTGAGCAGCTCCAGCAGCTGCTCGATCTGTCTGAGGAAAGAGGGGAAAAGCAGTGGGAGCCACGCAGTCACAGGTCACCGGTGCTCCCGCTCCCTCCACATGTTAAATGAAGCCAGGCGGTGGTGGCGCACAACTTTAATAATCCCAGCACTCAGAGGCAGAGGCAGGTGGATCTCCGAGTTCAAAGTCAGCCTGGTCTAAGTTCTAGCACAGTCTGGGCTACACAGAGAAACCTTGTATTGAAAAATAGAAACAAACAACAACAACAACAACAACAAAAAATCTAAATGAAAACAGTCAGAAACCCACATTGTGGGATAGGACTCGGCTTGGAACCCGCTGCACTCAGCTTGGACACGGAGACAGGTGAGCAGGCAGCCCCTCTAGGTCTGGGGTCTCCCAAGAGGGCAAGGACAGGATGAGGGCCCCAGCGGAGTGGGGACCCACTGCTGTCACAGAAGCCAGGGTCAGACAGGAACACAGCCAACCACTGCTCAGGGACACAGGCCAGCCAGCTAAGCACCGTGGTCAAAAGTAAGAGGTCTGGGCAGACAGTGACCACTGACAGCACAGCTGCCCGCCCATGTGCCCCTTAAAGAGGCCTTGGCGCACATCTTTAATCCCGGCACTCAGGAGGCAGGGAGGCAGGCAGATCTCTGTGAGTTCAAGGCCAACCTTTTTTCCAGGGCAAGTTCCAGGACAGCCAAGGCTACATGGAGAAATCCTGTCTCAAACAAACAAACAAACACGGAGAAATCCTGTCTCAAACAAACAAACAAACAAACAAGCAAACTACACACAAAAAGGAAGAGGGCTTTAGCTGCATGCCTGTTATGACCAGCGTACACAATTCTGCCTGACTCTAGACATAACTGGATAGCAGTTCAGAGAAGAGAGCATCACCTGAACCATTTTACTTTATAAAAACCTGACTCTCAGTGTGGACCCACCTTTCTTCCCATCCTTGGGTTTTCACGGCCTTCAGTGACTCACTCAGGACCATCCTCATGAGCTTGGACATAAAAGAAATTCATGTCAGTGAGAGTACAGTGGACAAGTTACCCAGCTTCCCCATGTCCCAGAAGCCTCCTGAAGGTAAGGCCTCAGCATGTCTCAAGATGCACGCCTGCCCACAGGATGGATATTGGGGGACATGACACTGTGCCCACAGGACCCTAGGCCTGGAGATGGAAGCTCTGCACTTGGCTTTGTGAGCAGCAGGAAGCCAGGCTCACCTGAGTGAGTGGGAACTACAAACCAGAGCTGACCAGAATGGTCAGGCATGCAGTGGGCTCTTCCTACGGCAGGCAGTCACCACAAAGCCAAGTCTGAAGCTGGGCCTAACTTCCCCCATGCTCTCCCAAGCCCCCCTTTCCCCATCAGAGAGCAAGACAGGGGCAAACCCTGCTCTGAACCACTGCCACATCAATCAAGGCTCAGCATCCTTCCCATGCACCCCACTACCCCTTGACATGGCTCAATGTTTTCTACGGATTTCCTGCCTTTAGATCTTAACACAGTATGTCCACTCTGCATCCAGATCACAGTCAAGACAACCAACAACACATGGAACCTAACAGCCATGTGCACGGAGCACACCAGAGGTCTGATGTCACACCTGGGGACACTGTGGACCTGACTTTTATGCCTATCTACACTAACTCTGAGAAAGTCAGCCACACTCAAGACTTGGTCACAAATGGCACAAAGATAAAATGGACCTTGGAGGCTAGAAAGATGGCTCAGTGGTTAAGAGCACTTGCTGCTCTTGCAGAGTACCCTGATCCAATGCCCAGCACCTACATGGTGGTTCACAACCACCCATACTTCCAGAGGATCTGATGCCTTCTTCTGACCTCTGAGGGCACCGGGCATACATGTGGTGTCATACATAGAGGCAAAACTCACACACGCACAAAAACATGTAATTAAAAATCTTTAAATGGGCCTTGGAAAGCAACAGCATTTACCACACCAAGGACCCAGCAATAGCAGCCTAGCTGATTACATCTTAGCATAGCCACTCCACACAGGACCTTCTCCCACAGACCTACTCCCTGCTACAGGAGGTGCTGGACCCCCACATGCAGCCAGGGCCCCACAGCCCATACAGCCCATCTTTCTTCTGTTTCTATGGGTAGGCTCCAGCACTACAAGGAAGGACATCTGATTATTGACCAGTCTGTGGTTCCACCAGGGCATGGGTCAGCATGGCACAAGATGTGCCCACAGAACTCAGGTCTATGTTCCTACACAACTCACTGGCCGAGAGGAGCATGACACAGGAGAAAGAAAGCAGGAGACAACCCTCAGCCAGAAGAGGATCTTCACAGGCGGGGGACTTGGTCCCCTCCTGCTGTGTGCTCGGCCAGGGTTTACTGGCAGTCACAATGGCTGACTCCTGAGGAGGGCTGAGGCAAGGCTCCTTCTCTGAACTCCTATTGGCCCTCAAGATGGGGACACTTCAGGCTGTAGCAGCACTGCAGCCAAGTACATTCCCAACCAGCCCTTGCTGACCCCTTCACCCCAGGGCTCGTGGGTCCCCTGCTCTGTGCCTCACCATGTAGAACTTGTCCAGGCGCAGTCGGTCGATGCCCACCCACTCTCGGATCATGGTCTGCCAGAACGCCCGCAGGAACAGGTGCTCTGGAGGGAGAGAGCACACACATGAACACCAGAGCCATGTGGGGAAGGGCAGCACACCCGCACAAGTCCTCGTGGGCGGCCCTGGAACGCCCTGCCTGTGTATTCACTCACAGGGCTCACAAGTAGAAGTCCCCAGACTCCACAGAAAAAACAAACAACACAGTTCCAATCAAGCTGTCACTCTGTTGTCTGAACAAACGCACATAGAGGAAGCAAGGTACTGGGAAATGGAGTGACTACTGGGGACAGAGCGCCCCACCCCACCCCCGGCCTCTTTGTCCCTGCCTTGGCTTGGGCTGAGGACCTCCTGACACCCAAGCCAGATGTTTAGCAAGGAGTCACTGAAGCAGGACTGTAGGCAGAGGCTTGGCACTTGCCCAACTAGATCCATTAGCCCTGCAGGTAACAGATGAGTCAGCTGCAGGACGTAGAGTCTGAACTGTGCCCTCAAAATCTTACGGAGAAGCTCTAAACCCTTGGTATTGCAAACCGTAACCAGAGTAAACAGAGGGGTTGTGCTTGGGCACTAACGAAGGTCCTGAGGGTGAGCCCTACCTAATCTCACCCATCGGAGGAAGGTACCATCTGCAGGACAAGGAGGCACCAGCCCTGGGAAACCTTGGTTCTAGAACAAATTCTACACCAGCAAAGGGCTCTTCAGACGGCTCAGTCATGGTGGCCTGGTGACTAGGTCACCAAGTGATCAGCTTTGTGCCCAGCAAAGCAACTCTCCTGCCAGTTCTTAGAGAGCAAAGAGTAGGGAGCTCAGATCCACTCCATCTATACATGCAATTAAAGAGATATTCCTGACCCCCATGGCACACATCAGTGATGAAAGAGGACCCCAAGTTCAAGGCCAGCCTGAGCTCCACAGTAAGAACCTGTCGCCAAGACAGAGGGATGGGATGAGGGATTCTCCCAACTGAGGAAATGTGCATCTATCTCCTCAATTTGCCGACTTCCATCTAATACAACTAAAACCCAGCTCACTGAGGACGTGAGTACAAGCCTCCAGCTCCTCTGTCAGGACTGCCCTCAGAGTAGCACAGGGGCCTGAGCCGGGCTATGCCCCAGAGCTAGGCTGGCCTGAGCTGGGGTCTGGACCTCAGGATTTTCAAAAGCTGCCTAGGTGATTCCAACAGACAGGCAGAATAGGGATATGGATGAAAAATGGAAGAGCTGGGAAATACACTAAGACAGTGGTTCTCAACCTATAGGTCGTGACCCCCCTTTACAGCTAGGACCATCAGGAAACAGATATTTTCATTATAATTCATAACAGTAGCAAAATTACAAGTTATGAAGTAGCAACAAAAATAATTTTATGGTTGGGGGTCACCACAACTGCTGTGGGATGTTCTGTATGGCAAATGTGTTGCTAATTAGTCAATAATAAAACACTGATTGGCCATTGGCTAGGCAGGAAGTGTAGGTGGGACAAGGAGGAGAATAAAGCTGGGAAGTGGAAGGCTGAGTCAGAGAGACACTGCCAGCCGCCATGATGAGAAACAGCATGTGAAGATGCCGGTAAGCCACGAGCCATGTGGCAAGGTATAGATTAATAGAAATGGAATAATTTAAGCTGTAAGAACAGTTAGCAAGAAGCCTGCCATGGCCATACAGTTTGTAACCAATACAAGTCTCTGTGTTTACTTGGTTGGGTCTGAGTGGCTGTGGGACTGGCAGATGAGAGAGATTTGTCCTGACTGTGGGCCAGGCAGGAAAACTTTAGCTACACACAACATGAGGCACTGTATTAAAGGGCTGCAGCATTAGGAAGGTTGAGAATCAGCGCACTACAAGAATGAGATGGCTCAGTGGTTAAGAGCACTGGCTGCTCTTCCAGAGGACCCGGGTTCAATTCCCAGCACTCACATGGCAGCTCACAACTGTAACTCCAAGATCTGACACCCTCATACAGACATATACGCAGGCAAAACACCAAAGCACATAAAATAAAAATAAATAAATAAACAAACAAACAAACAAACAAATAAATAGAATGAGTGTCGTGTCTACCAGGTGGAATCCAGCTAAACATGATAGTATCATGACACTGAGCTTTTCTCTATGTGTTATACCTCCGCCTTTCACTCCTGAGCCATGTCTGTTTGGTAAACGGGTGAGTACAGGCTGAGCACTGGGCTGTGTTCCATACCACAAGCTTCCACACAGCCGCCTACCTCCCTGTAGCTTGAGGTCTGAGAACAGAGACTGCTACATTGGTAGCTCTGAATCTCAGTGACTCTGGTGTTGACGGCGACAGGCCTGGCTTCAGAGTACTCACGTGCCTCTGTAGTCTGAAAAGCATGGATGAGCTGGGAAATGGTCCTTCCTAGTTCTTCCTGTGAGGGAAATAGGAAGCACACCCTCAGACCCTGAAGCACTGCTCAGACAGCACACACTACCAATGCCCACTCACTCCACACAAAGAACCAGCTGCCAGGTGGCCTCCACTGTCCAGGGGCCTCCACCGTCCAGGGGCCTCCAAATTCTGCATGTCTCCTTGCTGCGAAAGGCCTCCTCTGTGGAAGCCATCAGACTCTCCCTCTATACAGCAGGAGTCAGTGCTGGCCTCACTAAGGCAGTGGCCCTGCACAAGAGGGTGACACCCCAGACATCATGGCAAGATGGAAAGGAGCCTCGAGACACAGCTGTCTTTCTAGCAGGAAATGGGGTCAAGCAGACACATGAATCACTCACTATCTACTGTCTCTCAGTGTTAAGCATTACCCAGTACCCTGGCTAAGATTCTAGAACTCCCCCCACCCCCACCCAGAGATGGTTGTTTTAGCAGGTACTACAATATGGGTCAGGAAACTGCTGCATGTAAGGCTCCTCCAACTGTGTAAACAAACCACAAGCTGAGAACTGCTGTTAAAAAAAAAAAAAAAAAAAGGCCTGCAGGAGAAATGCCTTCCCAGGAGACCTGGATTCTGCCCTTACTTCCATTACATCAGCACTGCGTTTCCAACCAAAGCAGTGATTAATGTGACACTATCCACTTCAGCCCACCCTGGCCTACACTGTTTGCCACCATGTCACTAAGATGCTCTCGTTAGCCAACCATTCCTGTCCTTCCTAAATGCCGGGACCTTCCTACCACAGCCCCGCCAGCCACACAGAACAAGGGATATAAGCTGAGTGACTCCACCCAAGTCTCTGGCCATGTTAAAAGGGGAATAAACACACGCCCATCAGTCCACCATCCATTCCTGTCCAGTTTCTTCAGCTACCTTCCCATGCACTCACCTGCTGGAGCGGCTTGTCCTGCATCCACATGCAGTAAAACAGCCCTTTCCAGATCTTCAACAGCTCATCTGGAGTAAAACCACCTAAATCACAAGAGCAACAGTCAGTGGACTCAGTGGACCCTGGAATCTGCCTTTCCGAGGCAGAAGGAAGCATGACTGCCTGAATTACCCCAGAATCGTATCATTGTGCAGGAACTGGGCAGCCAGCCCCTCCCCAAAACACTCTGCAATAGACCTGCCATACCTGTGACTGGAGGAGCTCCCCCAGTAGCTTCATGCCCCAGTTAAAGACAGGTATCATCAGTCCCACAGGGTTAAAACACAGAACCTCAACCCATACTGGATTGCCCGTAGCTAATGCAGTGATCATTAAGCCAGTGTCAGACCAAGGAGTTGTAGCTTATCTATTACATCTCAGAGATTAAATGGTGAAAGTTACTCATTCAGGCTAGCAAAGGCCATAACCTAAATTGCGGCTCTCAAGCTGCAGCGTGGAAAACGGCCCTGTGGCGCTTCCTAAAGCACAGGGCCGTGACCTCGGTCAAAGCACTGCTCAGGGGACCTAGAATTCTCATCTGTGAAGGGGTATCCAAGAGAAGCTGAGGCTGCTGGCAGGGGGTCGCTCTTCGAGGACCCACTCACTGAAAGCACTCAGCAGAAGGCATGTTCTGGGAAGCTCGAGGCCACTCCGTTAAGCACACAGAACACTGGTAAGGCCCAAAGAGCACGAGCAAGCTCCGGAGGAAGGAAAAGCGTGCATTCCGACGGGGACGGCCTGAGCTAGGAGACCCGCCGGCGAACCCGGCCCCGTGGGGCCCACGCGGCGGAGGCTCCCAGCCTGCCCGCCCGCCCGGTACCTGCGGTCCGCTGCGTCCTGGCCGTGATGTACTTCCGCAGCTTGCGCACCGCGCGGTCCCGCGTCACCTGCTCATTGCCGGCCAGGCGCTGCGCCAGCTGGATCTCCGGCGGGAGCGGCACTCCAGGAACCATGATGAAGACCCTGAGACCACGCACTCTGCGCTTCCGCTGGGGCGCTCCAGTGACGACAAGCGCTACGTCACGTCTGCGCGACACCACCGAACGTCACACCGCGGCGACACAACTCTGCTAAACGTCAAACGTCCCGTCTGATGCCGGCGCACGCTACTGCCCCTCCGTGGCCAGGAGGCGCAACTGCAGCCCGCAGGAAAGATGGAATCCTGGCGTCTTGGCTGGGGCAACTCTGATTCTTGGAAGGGTCAAGCGTTGTCTTGGGCTCGCCCTCCTCCTTACTGAAAAACCTGCATAGCGCGCAGCAGGAGCGGCTGCATTACAAGAAGGTCTTGATCTGGCCCTTCCTGTCCTTAACTGCAATGCCCATCTCTGGAGGGCTGCGTGGAGCTGCCCCTTGCTCAACATACTGTCCCTATACCGCCGAGAACTGTGCGCCTTTCCCGGGAGCCCAAATAAATCCGGATCCCCAGGGAAATCCACCCGGCCAAGCCTTTTGGAGAGCATCCGCTTTTCTGGACAGGGAGAAAAGCAAGAAAGCCATCATAACCCAAGTTTGGGGACAAGGTGTGGAACACCTATCCTAAAGATGGACAGGCGAATACATTCACTACAGAGAACAGAGAGAGTGGGCAAAACTTGAGTGTGCCCTGGTTCAAAACTTGAGTGCGTGATGACAGCCATTTGGAACACAATTACAAAAGCTTCCATATAGCCCAACGTCTGAAATGTCAGATTAGAATACAGAACAATTGTAGATTTCTTTGATGTGACCATGGTGTTTTCCTAAGACCACCACAAATCTGAGGTCTTGCTGGGAAAATTCACGAGACAGCGGAAATTTGGATTTAGTGTTACCATAACATTTCGAGTTGGTTGCCACACCATAGGCCAGCTAAGCCTGGGATCAAAGTGACAGGGAAAGAAGATGGCTTTATTTGAAAAGTTAGATACTAGAGAAGATGGAGGGACTGTTGTCCAAAGCCATCAGAAGAGGAAGTGGAGCAACAGGAGGTGGGGAGGGCATGTCTAAGCTACTACAGGAACATAGACAGACCAAACTCCAGAATTTACTGAACTGATAAATCACATCGGTGTCATTGGCAACAATTTTCAAGTCGTCCAGTTTCCTTACTAGCAGACTTAGGCATACTATTGTTGTACCCTGTCTCAAAACCCCCAGAGACCACCAAAGAGCATGTTTCCCACGCAAGCACATAAGGGTCTTTTTATTGTCAGGTTCAAACCTGGGCCACTGCCCGGCAGATGGAAAGAAATGCGGAGGCCCCAGGCTCAGGGGTTGGAGAGTTTTTAAAGGAAAAAAACCACAAGCCAGGAATACATGCCTTGGCATTTTTTGGGACTGGGTAGAAGGGATATGGGGCAAGGTAAAATTTTGAAACTATTGGTCTAGACTTTCGGTGTGAAACCACATTCGAAACTATTGTGTTAGACTTTTGGCGGGGAACCACAATGTGCTGACAGGACATCTAGATATCTGCAAGGGCCATAAATTACCAACAGGATGTCTGCAGGAGCATCTGGATCTTGTTAAATTTTACTGCCCTATTTCTTAATAGGCTGCTTCTAGGGATCTGTTCGAGTTGTCATGGCACATTCCTGAGGTTCTTCCTGGAACTGAGTACAGCCCCCGGTCACCAGGTGGTGTAAGATGGTGGCCCTCCCCTAAGATAGAGTCTGTAAAGTCAAGTCTAGGCCTTCATATTGCCTCCACACTATCTTAAATTCCTAATATTAACTGTCAGATCATGCATTACATATCACACAGTAGATATATCTACCTATACATATACATATAAGCCAAGACCTGCTTGGCTTAGATTCTGAAACTCTGACTAGGGGTGGTGGAGGAATAAAGAAAGGATGGACACACAGACATACGTACAGAAAAGTGGAGTCAGATGAGGTATGTGCACTCTCATGGAGACATCTACTCCCTCTGCAACCTGGAACCTCAGCTTGTTTATTGTGTACAACCCAGGGAGGGGAGGTAGGCGGAAGTTTCTCTCCTGCCTGCCTGTTCCCAAATACTCACAGCCACTTCTTAAATAATTGACTCTGGAGCTTAATATTACATATAAATGCTCAGCTGGTAGCTCAGGCCTATTTATTATTAACTAGCTCTTACACTTAAATTAACCCATAATTCTTATTTTTGTTATTTTTTTGTTTTTTTGAGACAAGATTTCTCTGTGTAACAGTCCTGGCTCTCCACATCCTGGAACTCACTTTGTAGGCTAGGCTGGCCTCGAACTCACAGAGATCCACCTACCTCTGCCTCCCAAGCTTCCTCTGCATCTTGCTGGCAATTGATTCATCCTCCCTCCTTCTTCCAGGCATTCTCAGTTTGACTTTCCTGCCAAACTTCCTGCCCAGCTACCAGCCCATCAGTGTTTTATTAAACCAATTCGAGTGACAAATCTTTACAGAGTGCAAGAGGATTATTCTACTACAAGGGGAGGTAGCCAGTGTCCATAGGAGGGCCCTGTAGGTAAGCCGTCTCAGACTGTAAACATCTGGGAGAAGGAAACTGTAGCTGCTAGTTTTTGTACCCACCAGTCAATCATTTGTACATGGATCCCCAAGGAAAGTCTCGCCATCCCTCCAGAGGAACCTCACCAGGGGAAAGTCTCACCATCCCTCCAGAGGAACCTCACCAGGGGAAAGCTTTGCCACTCCCATGGGGCTGAGGCATCAGAGCTCTTGACATGGCTGTGGTGACATGGCTACAAAGGATTAAAGGAGCCACAGCAGAGTTCAGGGAGTCTCAGGGAGACCCAACAGAGACAAAAGGGGTGGGTACAACAGACACAAAAAGAGTCTCTCAGCTCTTGGACAAAACCCTGTCGGAGGCTCTGCTGTGTGGTCAGTGGGCAGCCTCAGGGTCAGGTCGAGGTGTAAAAACATAAGATGCTGTAGAATCAAAGAGCAGGATAGGGTCCAGTTGAATGAACCAATGGACAGACGGACAGCAGGTCCAGATGGATGAGTGGGTGGATCCATCATCAACAGGGACCAAGCTAAACTGAAGCCCATGGGACAGTCAAGAGTTCTCTCCCGTCGGCCCTCAATACACACAATGTATAATAGGGAGACAGCAAGTCAGTGGGGGAAATCTCATGTTAGGTATCCTCTTCTTCATGGGTTCCAGGTGAGGCAGTTACACTCATCCTTGGTCGGTATGTACAATAAGTCCTTTGGCCTATTTTTGCTGGTGTGATTTTTAATAGGTCCATGAGCTCCTGCAGTCCCAGTTTACTGTGCTAAAATTCTAGGGTGGCACTCTTTACTTTTATTTGAAATAAAATAAGTTATTTGTGAGTCTGTGCCTCCTGGGTGGGGCTGGATGGACGATGCCATTCACAGGCATACCCAGGTGCACAGTCGTCTGCCATCCTAAAATAAAGGCAAAAGTGCCTTTAAGATGGCACTTTTTTTTTAAGATGGAGTCTCTCTGGGCAAGGCACAGCCTGATCTAAACAGGGGATAAGAGGAATGGATCAAAGCACATTATGCACATTTCTCACAACCTATCACAATGAACCCATCATTTTATGCATCTAATAGACAGTAATTTCAAAAGTACATCTTGCCAGTAGGCTGATTTTGCAAGTTTAGGAGACAGGTGACCATAGGCAGAGAGGCACCTTTTCACTGGGGTCTGTGAGTGGTAACACAAATGTCTTAGTTAGGGTTTCTATTGCTGTGAAGAGACACCACAACCGCGGCAACTCTTATAAAGGAAAATATTAAATTGGGACTGGCATTCATTTCAGAGGTTTAGTCTATTATCATCAAGGCATGAAGCATGGCGGCATGCAGGCAGACATGGTGCTGGAGAAGGAGCTGAGAGTTCTACATCTTGATCCACAGGCAGTGGGAGACTGTATGCCACACTGGGCATAGCTTGAGGATATAAGACCTCAAAGCCCTCGCCAGCACACACACACACACACACACACACACACACACACACACTTCCTCTAACAAAGCCACACCTACTCCAACAAGGCCACACCTCCTAATAGTTCCCTTCCCTATGGGCCAAGCATTCAACACATGAGTCTATGGGGGTCATTCCTATTCAAACCACCACAACAAACCTGGTCCTAGCTGTTCAGTCACAAGATGCTTTTTAAGTCTACAAATCTCAAGAATGAAGATGGTTATCAGTCATTAAATGCTTTTCAACAGAGCAAATCTCAAGAACAAAGATCAGTATTTACTCAGGCCAGGCTTGTCTAGAATCAACTGCCCGAGTACAATTGCTGGAATGTTCTACAGTGGACAGGTAGGAGGTGGCAGCTGCTCCCAGGCCTTGCTATTCTCCAAACTCCAGGTAATGGAAGAAACTGTATTTGTCTGATTCCTGTAGATGCCAGGGTTGGGTGATGTCAAGCAGGGAATCAGGCAAGATCCCATCTCACAGCTCAGCTTCAGTGCGGTCTGCTCCAGGGGAGGGACCCACAGAAAAATCTTCTGAGCCTTTAATCCCAGCACTCAGGAGGCCGAGTCAAGCGGATCTCTGCGAGTTTGAGGCCAGCCTAGTCTACAGAGCAAAATCCAGGACAGGCACCCAAAACTACACGGAGAAACCCTGTCTCGAAAAACCAAAAAAAAAAAAAAAAAAAAAAAAAAAAAAAAAAAAAGAAAGAAAGAGAAAGAAACAAAGATCTTCTGAAGGAAAATAGGTGTGGGCCGAAGGCTGGGCAACCAGGCCCAAGCTTACCTGAGATCTCTGGAGTGGATCCTCATAGGACAAGTAGAGACCAGAGATGCAGGGGAGGATGGCCTGGGTTGGGGGGTGTGGCAGCTAGGGGGATCTGGGATCTAACATTTTCAGCCACATGTGTGTGAAATAGAGAGGTAATTTTATAGGAGAGGGAGGTAGAGGAGACTCAAGGGATGATGGATGCTGAGTTCAAGACTAGTGTAGTAGCACTGGGGTGGAGCCTCCTTGACTCCTATCAGGTACCCGGGTGGGAATCTCAGAAGCAGAGGACAATGTCTGGACTCCTGCATGAGGACATAAAT